TTAAACAAATCCAAGCTGGCGAAGACAACGCTGGGGCATGTACGCCTCGACGATCTCACGATACTGAATGAGTCCCGTGTACAGGGTCCTGGGTACCCTAACACTAGGGTTCGGGCCGAAAGGCATCCAGTTCACCTGCACATAGTTTTAAAATTTAATAACATGAATATAATATGTGCAAATAATAAAATGTAAAAACAATTTATAAACGTTACCTCTAAGGGGGACAGCCTGTCCAAAAACAACCGTATCGATCGGAGGCGGTCAACGGACTTCTTCTCCGAGCGCGGACTCCACGCACAAGCACGCGGCATCCCCTCATCAATAGGAACTGGGTCACGATGTGGTCGCAATGCAGGAAAGTACTCGTATATCCAGGTCTGCAATAGAGTCAGACACCCAGTGATACCTGCCGCGTCAGCCCGACTCGCAAATCCTAGTTGGCGATACAAATACGCCAACGTAGCCGATCCTCAGGAAAACTGGCCTACACTGTCGGGGTCACACGCCTCCACTATGTCGCGTGGCCTGAGCTTGTTTCCGCCGCTCTTATCCGGAAACAAGGTACATCCGAGGAGTAGAAAAACATAAGCACTCAGCTGTGCGTCGTGCGTCCTACGTGCACTGGGGTACAAACACCGCTGCAACACGGATGCGATCTTCACACCTCCGTGTTCCCAAACACCTAGCGCCTCGGTGTACAGTGCAGCCCTGTCCACCGCCAACAACTCTGCCAGCAAATCTGCCTGATCCGCATCAGCCACAGCACAAAGTCGTTTACCCTCAACACGAATCCCCAGAATGGCCTCGACGTCATGTAACATGATCGTCATCTCACCGAACGGAAGGTGGAAAGAGTTTGTATCCGGCTGCCATCGCTCAATGAAAGCCGTGATCAGCGTACTGTCAATCTTATCGTGCATGGTGGCAGGAACATGATTCAACCCAGTGCCCTCCAGTCGCTCGAACATCTCGCTCTCCGCCGGCCAAGCCTCAGCCCATGTACGCAAAAAGCTACAAGTCTTTTCCCGGGTATGACATTTCAACAACCCCGTAACTGAAGGCCTCTCCTGGTCCTCCCAAATACGGGCAGCTATGTGTCCTAGAAAGCTAGGAATCACACTCCCGTCAACAGGCCCACCGGGCACCTCACTCCTAACAACCCAAGAATCATTACCGGCCCTCGACCGTTTCCTGCTTGCCCCAGATACAGTGGACGCAGATGATGTGCCAGATCTACTAACAAACCTACCACCCCTACCCTTACGCACCTCCACCATATGTGTCTCGTACATGTCATCAACCCTCTGACTGAATGGACCGTAATCATCATACGCTCCACTGCCATCGTCCACATCCTCATCCTCATCTGCGCCCTCCTCCTGCTCCTCCTCCTGGTCACCCTCCTCAGCATCATCATCGTCATCGTCATCCTCATCCCGACGGTGGATCCGTTCTCTACGAGATGAGGCCGAAATACCACAGGATCTGACATGTCTATGCCCCGACCTCTCCACTGAATAGCTTCTACTAAGAAGCTCTACATTCTTCCCCGCACCATGACGACCCAGTGAATTCTACACAAAATTTTAAAATATATAAACATACAAAATTTAGACGAAAAACAGCTACCACTTCCAAATCAAATAAACTAAAAACATACAAATAATTGTAAACAAAATATAAACATAGAAAAAATACAACAAAATTGAAAAAATTTATAAAAATAAACAACAAAATATAAAAAAATTCAAAAATATATTACACAAAAAAAAAATTAAAAACAATATTTTAAAACAAATATAAAAAAAAAGGGGGGGCGCCTTGGCTGGACGCCCAGCCAGCGGTGGTGGCGCCAGCTGCAGACGCCGCCACCAGTGGGCTGGCGCCTAGGCTGGACGCCACAGCCACGGCTGCGGCGCTTTGAATAAACGCCACAACCGTGGCTATGGCGTCCAGCCCAGGCGCCAGCCAACTGGTGGCGGCGTCTGCAGCTGGCGCCACCACCGCTTGCTGGGCGTCCAGCCAGGGCGCCCCACCGCCGTCACGGCGGTTTTTCCCTTTTTTTTTTTTTTTTTTTTTTACAAATTGTACCTTTCCTCCTTGGGACATCCTTCCCTCCGCCGCCGCCGCCAATTCCTTGCCTTGCCGCCTCGCCGTTGTTTGAATTTTTTTTTTTAAGAGAGGTTGAAAGAAGATGAGCAATGAGAGTGTGAGTGATGAGAGTGTGAGTGTTTTTTTTAAGGTCAAGGGCAATTTTGTCAAACCAAGTGAATTTTGTGGGCTTTATGTAGTAATTTGTGGGCGATGTTTAACAAATCCCATTTTTTATCAGAAATTTTGGTACATTGTTGGTGATGATGTATTTAATTTTTTTAGTAATATTTTATGTGGCATTTCCCCTCTAGACCATGTAAATAATGCTAACATTGCTCTTATTCCGAAATTGAAGTTGCCTACAAGTATGTCTGAGTTCCGGCCTATAAGTCTGTGAAATGTGTTGTAAAAATTAGTTTCAATTCTAAAGTGATTGTGCTCCGATTGAAATCTATTTTTTCGGATGTTATCACTGAAAATCAGAGTGTTTTCATTCCAGGTCGATTGATAACTTATAATGCCTTCATTGCTCTAGAATTATTTCATATGATGAAAAATTGGAGTTGGAGTAAAAAGGGTATAATTTCTTTGAAACTTGACATGATTAAGGTTTATGACAGACTTGAATAGGGCTTTCTGAGAAAACTTCTCCTAACAATGTGTTTTGATGGAAGATGGGTTAATTTGGTCATGTATTGTGTGTCCTTGGTAACATACTCTTCATTATTAACGGAAGTGTATGCGGGAAGATGGGAGGTCCACTCTCTTCTTATCTCTTTATTCTGGTGGCTGATGCTTTTTCTCATATGTTGCAAAATAAAGTTCAGATGGGTGAGCTACATGGGGCAAAAGCAAGTAAGAGTGGGCCGACTTTTATCTCCCATCCCTTGTTTGAGGATGATAGTTTGCTTTTTGCTAAAGCGACTCGATAGGAATGCGAAGTGATAGTTGATATACTCAACAGATATAAAGTAGCATCCGGCCAGAAAATTAATTATGAGAAGTTAGAAGTGTCCTTTAGTAAAGGGGTAAGTGTAGACACCTGCTTGTGTCTCCTTAAACACCAAACCCAGTGATGAATGCCTTTCACGTTTTTATTAACGAGTTCGGCAAAGAGTAGAAAGGTCGCACAAAGTTTCGTTAAGTCTGGACCATCTTTCTAACCTTACCTAGAATCTCTTTAAACCCAAAAAGATCCATTTCAAGTCCTTAAATAAAAAAAAAATTCATTTCGTGCCTTTTAGCCCAAAAATGTCCTTTTTGTGCCTATGACCATGAAGACGTCCAACCTGATTTTTTTGGTCCGTTCTTTAGTCCAATAATTGTTTGGACGGATGGGGCTCGAAAAAAGCTTTCAACGATATATTATAATCCCAAATCCGACTTATAACGAATGAGATATGGTCAAAATACTAAATCGAGCCCAAACCAAGCCTAGACCCACCTTTAGTACGACCCAATGCTTATATGTAGCCCAAATATTTTATTTAGGCCCCATATGATCATATTCATTCCTAACCCCAGGACTTCTAGAATCTTCTAGAAGGTTGTAATTTATCCTTTTCGAAAGATAAAGATCGAGAATTTGAGGTTAAATAGAACTTACTCATGAGATAAACCTTAATCTTTCAGATTCAGAGGCATTCGGATATAATTTTGCAAAGATAAACCACCATAACAAACTCTGTGCAAGCATCTTTTATCTTATGAACCATCGCGACGCGACAGACCTTGTCGCGAAGCGATGAGCGTGTCGTGCCGCGATGAAAATCTGGATAAACATCTGAATATTCACGCGTATTCTCCATCGCTGCGCGTTGCTCCTATCGCCCTGCGATAAGGGTCATCACGACGCGACAGGTCTGTCGCATCGGGATAAAAGTTTTATCATAATTTCTTCCTTTGATCTTTTTCGGATTGTCTGATCCTATTTTTACCTATAAATAGAGATTGTTTTCCCCGATTTCGGCCGGAGGACAGAAAAAAGAATTTGATTGACAAAATTGAGAATAAAATTAACCCGAAATTCCTAAATTCCATGCTCTTAGTCTAAGCACACATCCTAAATACATCCAAATCATTCACCATACTTCCTTTGCGTGATTCGAATACTCCAAGCCATACTCGACGTCATCTTCGACCTCGACGTGAAAGGTTGATATTTCTGAGGGTTTGGATCTAAATCCATATTACTATCCTTAATTAATTTAATTTATTAATTTACTTTATTGATTTACTTTCTTGAAGTTTACTAACGTGTGTATTATTTTTATAGCAAGAAAGTCGAAGAGTCAAAGAAAGTAATTTAATTACTTTTTAGATAGAAATCATGTTTAGGATAACGTGTTGATTTTGTTATTAGTAACATGCTAGAATTATTATTAATCTGTTTGCCTAGGATCTTACTACTAACGATATTTTTTTATGATGATAATTATATGTTGCTTGATTATCAATGATCTATTGCTTGATCATGCCCCTTTTTGCAGGTTTAAAGGGAATTTGTAATTGAAATCACGCCTAATAAGATAATTAATAATTGGATTTAGGTTTAACATGATTTTAATTCAAGTGATGACAAGTATTAGATTTAATTGTGCATTAACAATCAACCAACATAAATTAAACAGGTTTAGATTAATTTGATGTACGTATGTTGATCGAAAAGCGCGCATGAATATCAATAAGGATCAAGTAGAGGCCTATTTTAGGGCGGGTTTGACCTTTTTACCATCATCCCCGAACATCCAGTCATGGTTCCAGACCACTATGGAGTTAGCAATCTCTGTGATTGTGAATGGGGTGTAACATTCACAGTCGTGAACGGTTTACAAGTTCCTAAAACTTGTTGGTGACTCTCTTTCTCTAACTTCTTTCCTAGGATCGCCGACATGCCTAAAAACATGACCTACAGTAGGGTAAGATAAATTCCCTATAGTAAGCAAGGAGTAACAAGAGGAGTTGGTGGATTTTCTTCATATGCGCACTGTTGACAATCATTGCAGATATTTAGGAATTCCTATGATAGAGGGGATCAGAGATCGAACAAAGCCATTTTTAGAGCACTATTAGACAGAATCTGGAAAAGGTTGCAAGGGTGGAAAGAGAAATTGCTTTTGAGAGCCAAGAAGGAGGTACTTTTAAAATCGATTATTCAAGCTATCCCGACTTACTTGGTGGGGGTTTATAAGTTTTCGAGTTCTGTGATCCGGAGTATTCAATCGGCCATGGCTAAGTTTTTTTGGGGTCACACGGGTTCACAAAGGAAAATTCATTGGAAATCATGGGATACAATGAGTACGCCTAAGTGCCTAGGGGGGATGAGGTTTAAAGATTTGGAGGTTTTCAATGTTGCTTTGCTAGGAAAACAAGCTTGGAAACTAGTGCACAAGGAGAATTATCTTTACAGTAGAGTCATGAAAGCAAAATATTTTCCCAACAGCTCTTTCCTTGATTCTTTTTTGGGGACAGCGGGCAGCTACTGTTGGAGGAGTATATGGAGTGCGAAAGCGTTGTCGAAAGAAGGGTTGATTTAGCGTATTGGCAATGGCACCGTGATGAACATTTGTAAAGACCCTTGGGTGGCTGATGAAAAGGGGAGGTTTGTGACAAGTACGGAGGTGGAAGCCTTGACTAATGTGAGCGACTTGGTGGACTTTTCGAGGATAGATTAGGATGAGGAGCTGATTTCATCAGTTTTTAATGAGAGGGATAGGAAATGTATACTTTCAATCCCTCTTAGTGACCAAGATTCGAAAGACGTCATCACTTGGGCGTTCTCGAAGGATGGGATGTACTCGACAAAAACTTCTTATATATTGGGAAAAGGATGCAATTTTGATCTATTTCATAAAGCTTGGGTTGAGTTATGAGGGCTGGATGCAACTCCAAAAGTTAAGCACTTTGTGTGGTGAGTCTATACGAATACATTGCCATCGAGGGGCCTGCTGAATTACCGCCATTTAATTGATGATGCTCGATGTCCTTGGTGTGGGGTGGAAGATGAAACTGCAGCTCATGCTTTGTTCGATTGTGTGCGAGTGCAAGACCTATGGGTGGAGAGTGGTTGTGCTGCTGCGAGGCCTATAGAGAATGAGTCTTTGTATGATTTGATTGTGCGGTGCGGGCTGCTAGGGGGTAGGGTTTAACAACGAGCTGTGACCCTTGCTTGGGTGATTTGGAGAGAATGGAATGATAAAGTGTTTGCAGGCACTACCACCCCAAATAAGGTATTGCTTGTGAGTGTACACATGGTAGTGGAGGAATTTGGACTTTATAGTAAGAAGGTATATGCAGTGGCTGCTAGTAAACCAAAAACCAGCATCAATAAATGGATTGCGCCACCAATTGGATTTGTGAAAATTAACTCTAACGCTCCTTTGTGTATTGAAGGGTGGGTTGGTTTGGAAGTAGTAGCTCGTGACTGTGAAGGGAAGGTTTTGTTTGCAGCAACACGTAGAGTTCGAGCTTGATATTGCAGAAGGGAAGGCGCTCTTATTGGCCGTGAAACTCGCAAGGAAGTACGAGCTCGAGAAAGTCATCCTAGAGTCGGATAGCCAAATCCTCATAAACCATCTCTTGAAGAATTTTGTGTACCTGTCGGATTTCGATGGCGTCCTAGATAATATCCTATCTTTGTGTAGTGCTTTTATGTCTTTTTCTTGGTCTCATGTTAAAAGGGATGACAACTTTGTAGCGCATCACCTTACTAAGTTAATGTCTTTCGGTGTGGAACAGGTTTGGGTTAATCATTGTCCGCCAATAATAATTTTCCCTTATGTACTTTGAGTCAAATTGTCCATTAATTAATGCTGATAGAGTATATAAATCGATTATGGGTTTCAATCATAAGCTTAAGTTTTTGGTTGAGTTGGTCCACTAACATGATACTCTATCAAATGCATTAGCCCGGCTTTCTTTCAAGAAAGAAAAAATAAATAAATAAACCCTGAATTTCAGAACTTTTTTGCAAAAAGGGATGCAAGTGCACCCCTACATGGCTACATGGCCATGTAGATCCCCCCATCTTCCCTTTTGTTTTCTTTCTTCGGATATGTTAGTTTAATTATACTGTAGAAGTTTAGCCTTCATTTTGTATTAACTGGTGACATATTAGTTTGTCTCTTTATAAACTTGTTTAATTAAAACCGTTACTTGTATTACAAATATTATGTCCAATCAATATTCATGTTTGAGTCTAGTGCTCTACTACAATCCCTCGAATAGTCGTATCTAGTCTAGTTTTATATCAATGAATACCGTACTTTGGACAATTGGACTCCGCATCTCTTTACAAATAAAATATTTTAGATGGGACAGTACATACATTTAGGAATTACTTGTAATTAAAGGAATACTCGGTATCAATTTTTTGTTTGACAGGAAAGGGAATATAGTACTGAAAATTATTCCGGGTGCACGTTATTTTAGAGGTTTTTTTTTTTTTTTTTTTTGCTTATTTGATGTGAGCAATAATTATCAAAATAAGCCACAAAACCAAAAAAAAAAAAATCCTAGTGTATGTACCCAAGGGTATATATAACAATCTATGATATAATCATGTCTTAGAAGGGATTGGTCAGCTTTTGAGACCTAAAAATTATATTTGATCTATTATTTTGATCAATACCTTAATTAAAAATCTAGGTGTGGAAATGTTATACTTCCTGTATCTTATAATTATTGTATCACTTGTGTTTTAGGGAAATTTCACAAATATTGCACCGTATCTATTTTAGAAAACAAAATATATGTGTTCACATTGCAAATACCCAATACATCCTTGTTTTTACAACACTTGATTCTTTAGTTTATGTTTGCATCACATGGATAATTTGTACTTTTACCCCTCTCTCTATTTCTTTTTCCCACAACCAAAAAAAGTGTGTCCAACTTATATGATGCAATAATAAAATATCGGAGGAAGTATGACTATATCTCCTGGGGCCTTATTTTTTAAAATAGCACGGGATCTTCGTAACTTTTGAGATAGCCCTGATTATTGGGCATTAAGGGTACATAAACGGTGAATCGGGTTGAAAGTAAATGTCGCCAAAATTCGAACCATTTTACTTGAGCTGATTGAGACAAAAGGGACCTCAAATAAGTAGAAATAAGGTAAATAAAACGTGACAGTAGACTTGTTAGCAGCCAAATACGAAGTACTTCGATGTTGCCAAGCATCTTATATACAAGTAAAGTTCCAGATAGAAAAAACAAGACTGAACACTAGGGGAATGCAATATGACAATTACTTGCTATTTTTATTCTCTATATGATTTTTGGAATTATATATTACATTGATTAATTGCTTTTCAGTCGAAGTATAGTACATACATTGTCCTTTTTTTTTTTTTTATAATTTATTTATTTATGTAAATCATGGTCGTATGGACCACTACGAGGCAGAAGCCTCCCAAGTTATTGTTGCCAGGGACAATTGTAAGAGGAGAGATTGCTAGATAAGTAGATAGCTAAGTATCAAGCATGTGCTTTAGTGAAGAAGTAAGACCACATTATCTTCTACGCATGCAGCACTTGATCAAATATTCATAATAATTCTTTGACTTTAGGCAGTAAGTAACAATTTTATATCTCCGTTCGTTCTAGTAACATTGCAACAGTTAATTGAACTCTTAATCCGCACTATCTATTACTCTTATTTTACCACAGTACATATTATGATCATCATACGTTAAGTTAAATTATAGTTATGTGGAGTCTTGTCAGCTTCATCTCGTAAAATACTTTCACAATATCAACTATTTTTTTTATATAATTTTTACTCTTACTCCGTATTTAATAATGTAAGTGTAAATATTCTAAATGTGTTTTGGAATGCGTGATTTAATTCATCCTTATTGCAATATTACTAGAACAAATGAAGCATTACATACTCGCCGTATTAGGAGGTTATCACTTTATTTTATTTTATTTATTTATTTATTGACAAATGGTGGTTATCTTCATACCATAACTTACCAAGTTACCATCCTGTTGATATATATTTACAATATGGTACAATAATTTCACAAAATGATCTAGCAAAATAATTAAAGTGTAGCACCCAACCTCTATATATAGTAACCATATGGTAAGTGTTCAATCATCAAAGGCCAACATTATTTCTCATGGCAACCACACTAATTTCAACCCTTACTCATACTTCTCATGATCTAAAAGATCCAATAACTCCATCTCCCCCCAAATTGGCCAAATATTTGCAAGAAGATGACATAACACAAGAATGTCAAGCCTTAATCTCCACCTTACCAAAGGATCAAGGATGGGTTCTATCCTATCTTTACCAATACCAAGGATTTTGGCATCCTATTAGGCAACTTCAAGGAGTGCTTTCATGCCAACGCCACTTCCAAGCTCGCGACACCGATATCATCCTCATCACTAGCCCCAAATGTGGCACTACATGGCTCAAAGCCTTAGCATATGCTGTAATAAACCGAAAAACCAACCCCCCAAGAGGAGATAACCATCCACTTCTCTCATTCAACCCTCATAAATCAGTACCTTTCTTAGAGCTTAAGGTCTATGTTGATCACCAAGTCCCTGACCTCACAGAATTGCCCTCTCCTAGGCTGTTTTCCACACACTTACCGGTCGAGTCGCTACCATTATCCATCAAGGAAACGGGGTGCAAAGTTGTGTACCTAGCTAGAGACCCAAAGGATGCCTTCATCTCATTATGGCACTTTGCAAACAAGTTAAGACCTCAAAATAGTTGTAAGCTCCAACTAGAAGAGGCATTTGACAAGTTTTGCAAAGGTGTTAGCCTTTATGGGCCTTTTTGGGACCATGTTTTGAGCTATTGGAAGTGTAGCTTAGAGAAATCTAACAATGTGTTTTTCTTGAAATATGAAGAGTTGAAAGTACAACCTAAGTTGTGTTTGAAAAAATTGGCTGAATTTTGGGAGCGTCCTTTTTCTTTAGAAGAGGAAAATAATGGGGTTGTTGATGAGATACTTAGTTTGTGTAGCTTTGATAATTTGAGCAATTTAGAGGTGAATAAGGTTGGGAAATTGTCCTCAGGGGAACAAAATAACGCCTTTTTTCGAAAGGGTGAGGTTGGTAATTGGGCTAATTATTTCACTCAGGAGATGACCGAGAAAATTTGAAGAAATTTGTTTGGACAAATTTCAACTTTGTGGTTTAAAGTTATAAATTAGTTTGAATATGCATCTGGTGCAATTTATCATGCCATCTATGTATGTACTTCATTTATTAAGTTCGTAATTCTATATTATTATGTGATTCATGATCATGTATGTTGTTAGTAGTAGCTCTAATTAGTGTCGTTAGAAATGTAATGCATATATAGTTATATATACCGTATGTAATATCTAGAGAATAAGGCATTTTTTTTTACTCCAATGAGGCTGGTAATTGGGGTAATTTGATGAGATTTGCATAAAAAATTTCCAACTTTGTGGTCTAAATGAAGTTTTAGTTTGTGGCTTGTGCCAACACTAATGTCAAGACTGTCAGCTACGTAGTTAACTAAAGATTTCAATTTATACAATACATAAATTATTAGAATTCATAAGTTTGTTTAAGGTCGATGCCGATTAGTTAACAGTAGGCCAGACATGCCGCATGTTTAATACTTCCTCCCTTCTTTTTACTTGACTTGTTTATTTTATCACGCTTGCTAATGCAAAATTTTAACTAGCTATTAATAACTTTAATTCTCCATAAGTAAAAATTATAAAAGTTATATGTTATGATAATATTAATTAAGACGATTCTAATAAGATCCACATGAATATGTTTTTTCTTATATATATTTCACAAAAAACGGTAAAAGGAGAGATGATGAATAGAGTAAAAGTTAAAGCAGTCCAAATAAAAAAGAACGGGAAAATATGAAGTACGGGTATTTTTCTCTAACATTAATTTTGTTGTCTTGGCCCCTTGGGGGCATCATGCCTACAACCACAACTACACTACAACATTTTACATGGTACAAATAGATCATCATTGGGAGCCAAGTAGATCGAGTAGTCTCTTTTTGTAAAATTTTGTACTGTTAAATTTTGTTATTTTTGCTGATTAAAAATTATTTTTTTCTTATTCTCTATTACGTATTATATTGTTATTTGAAGTTATCAATATTAACTGATTGAAATTTATTTTTTCTAAACTTAAACTTATTTTACTAAATTAAAATCATTTTTATTAATATATAGAGTAGCTAAGTATTTTATTTAAGGTGAAGAGAATATATCCTTACTAATATACTCAATAATAGGTTTGTTTAAAATCAATTGATAATTTGTCCATTAAAATTTTTTGATATAAGAAGAGCCCCTCTTTAGCACTTTAGGGTGGAGAAAGTCAGAAAACGATGGCAAAGAACATGAATTACCAAAATTCACTTGTATTGGAAAAAGAATTTTTAACTTTTTGAAAGAGCTTGTAAGTTGTAACCCTTTGCTAAAGCTTCACGAGAAAGTCAGTGTGCAGGCCCTTAAAGTGGTCACAAAATATTACTCCGTACTTCTATCTTTATTATGCCATATTTCCAAACACAGTATGGATTGTCGTATTATAACCATATACACATCACAATTTGGATTGTCGTATTAATAGCCTTCTAAATACAGAGTAATTATGACATCTATTGTTATTTTTATGGGATAGATGTGATAGAAAGTTAGGGGAATATTCATATTGTAATTTTATCAGAAATACATTCTAAGATGAAGTAGTGGATCCAAAACAAATTGAAAATTTTATGATACTATGCTAAAAAGGAAGGAATATTTGTTAAGAGTAAGCCAACTTTTGCGTGGTTAGCTCAAAATAAGTAAATTTTTCGATTAACTTAAAATAAATCGACTTTTAAAGGGTATTTTCTTTTAATAGGTCAAATGACCTACAACCTAATGTTTTAATTAAAAAATATTTTAATTAAAAATAACTTATTAAATTTAATTAAATGTTTAACTATATATAATTATTAAATTAAATAAACAAATTATACTGCCATCCCCTCCCCCTTCCAGCGGCCGGCGACCACTTCCTTCCCCCCCATCCCCAACCCACGATACCCCACCCTTCCCTTCCCTTTTCCGCATCCCCGCTTCCCCAACTACAAATTGATAAGAAAATGGAATTGATTAAGAGAGAGAAAGAGGAATAAAATTGTATGAATACAGAGTTCCAATTTCAGAAAATTGATCGATAAAAATCGATTGAAGGAGCGAAAAGATGAGCAATCTAATGCCTGAAACGACGGGAAACAATGCTGCATTTGCGAAAGTTGGAATTGATGATGGAGTTGCAGATAAGAAGAAAACAAAAAAGATAAAGAAGAAGAAGAAGAATAAGAATTGGGATTGTTGATGTTCGAACAGTGGAGACATAAGGCAAGCAATGGAAGGGGGACATGACTCCTGATGATCCGGTTGCGAAGGCGAAAAATGAGCTACGAAAGGCAAATTGAATGGTGATCATCCGGTTGTGAAGGTGAAAGACGAGCTAGGAAAGGGAGGGGGGTGGGGTCGCCCAGTGGGTGGGGATCAGAGGGCTGGGTTTCTTTTTTTTACTTTTTTATTTTATGTTAATTATTGATATAAATATTTAGTTGTTGATTAAAAAAGGTTTTTTTTTTTTTTAAATAATCAATCAAAATATAAATCTTAATTAATTTTTTAAAAAGGGTCAATCACTTATTGACACGTGTCATACATTACCTTAACAATCGGTTACTTTCTAATCTAACAAGTTTTGATTCATTTTAGGAAGATATATTACAAAAATCGACTTATTTTGAATTAATCAAAAGTTGGCTTAATTTGAAATAATCACGCAAAGTTTGACTTATTCTAGACAAATTTTCCAAAAAAAAAATGTGTTTCAACCTAATTTGAGATATACGTAGCATGAAATAGAAAAGTATTCAAACTATTTTAAGACTAGAGTATATAATAATAAAAATTTATAAATAACCGATATGCTATTTTTATTTTTATTTTTTAAAAAAAATATAAAATAAAATTTATAGTTATAACCATTTAAAATGGAAATTGAAAAGGTCATGAATCATGTTGAGGTGTTTTTATAAATTTTAAAAGATAAAACATTTTTTCTCATTTAAAGTTCTCATTCTAGCCTCAACAATTACAAGACAATAAATAGTTAGGTCTCGTTCACTTCACCTTATTTTTGCTGAATTGAACTTATTTATAACTGAACTGAAATTATTTTTACTTAACTGAAATTATTTTTACTGAATATTATTATTTTAAGGTGAAGTGAACATGACCTTATTCTCTTTAAATCTCTCTCCCACCAATAGGCTACTTAATGCAAAACAACAACGAAGTTTCTTGTAGCCTAATCAAAGGAAACAATTGAACCCAAAACTACATTTGTTATTTGGATGATATACTACAAGAGGGGGGTGAATTGTAGTAAGTTCCTACTGCCTAAATTTCGCGTAATATAAAACAGTTAAAGTTAGGAACTAAAACATGCAACGCGGATTTTACGAGAAAATCCAAGGGATTTTCAACACAAACACATCACTATAATAGGGCAAAACTCCTAGTTACACCCTATTACACACAGACATTTCTCACAAGTTCCTCCACGGAAACTTGCTACACTCACAAATTCCTACCCGAACACTTGCTACCTGATAGGACCCTATCCTACCCAACCTAAGTCCCACACTTAGATTCACTCAACATTCCCAGAGTGCCTACACTCGGCTTCACACTAGAAGCTCACTCACTGTGCACTCACAGCTACCATGCGAATTTTAGAGATTTCAAACTCACAGCTACAATCGAATTTTAGAGAATTCAAACTCACACCCTAATACCCAAAACACTCAAACCTTTTTTTCTCATTACAAGATCTCATTGAATAATTCTAAATACATATCTATGAATAAAGAGATAAAACTAATATGTTGGACACTCGAGATCTGTCTGGAACTCACTGGACATACTGAAACCAAAACCTGATAGGAACTTTGACCAGGAGGACTGACTTAGTTCGTGGTGAAGGATGAAACCATTAAGCACGACCACTTCACTTCGTCAGCCTCAACTTTGAATGAATACATATGAGCATATTTATAGTACACTCGAATTATTCATTTCATATTAAAAATAAGTTTTCCGAAAATATATCTTTTTGTTAAGAATAAAATTTGTCAATAATAATATATATAATTAACACAAAATCAGATTTTATTCAAAACTTATCTTTTTGTTTAAAATACTTTATAAACAAACTTATCTTTTCCAAAAGAGATTTATTAGAAAATAAATATCTTTATTCAGTAAAACCAAATCCCTAAAAAATATGCACGTATTAGGTAAATATATATATCATTAAAACCGACTTTTAAAGACGTGCATACTTAAGTTCCTATTAGGTTCAGAACTCTAACAGTCTCTGACAGGTCAATAACTCTAATTTCATTGACTGTCTAAAGTTCACCTTGGTTCCATAGACTTGTTCCAAACCGACTTTTATGTCCAAAATACTTACATGAATCCTAGAGCAATATACTTCTTTCTCCGTCTTCATGTTGCTTCTTTGAAACTCTTGTTCTGGAATCCTGTAGTCTTGATGTATTCTGGATCTCAAAGCAACGTTCCACTTCAGGAACTTGCTGTCACTCTTCTCCAGCATTACACTGGAACTCGCAAACCAAGCTTCATTAAGCTTGTTGTCATGCTTCTGTTAGGAAGCTCCTTGTGTGTACCTAGTAAGGAACACCTCATGTACCTGTTAAGGAACATGCTCCGGCTCTCGTGGGAAAGCCTGCCAAAAGTTCCTTCTGCATCTCGTTGGAGAATACCTTCAGGTTCCTTTGTGGTTTGGTTCTCGTGGGAGAACCTGCTTTAGGTTCATTCATTCTCTCTTGTTCCTCTTGAAGTTTTCAATGTTCCAACCCATTGACTTCACCTAAGTTAGTTCATGTCTTCACATAAACACTTAAGAGAACATTATATTGACGTTTGTTTGTCATAAACAAACTTCAAGTGAGAAAACTAATTAAACTTAAATTTAAAGCCACGTATCTTTGTATTTTTATATTTATAAAAACCAGAAAGAAAACTAAAACAAAACCAAACTAAACTAGAGCTAACCTAAAAGCAAACTAGAAAAACTAAACTAAATTAAAAGACTCTTACACATACATGACCCATGTATGCATAGGATACTTACCTCATGAAGCTAACATATGCAAACACCTATTTACATAGGTACCTTCATGGTTTCCTTCACCATCATCATGCTTATCAACCATCACTCATCATTGCTCTTGTTCTATCTATTGCTTATCATATATTGCTCAGGTTCCTTATACATATACTTTGTCATTGCTCAGGTTCCTTGTACCGTGTTCC